AGGAAGGAAGGAAGGAAGGAAGGAAGGAAGGAAGGAAGGAAGGAAGGGAAGGAAGGAATAGCAATAGCAATAGCACTTAGACTTATCTACCGCTTCACAGTATTTTACAGCCCTCTCTAAGTGGTTTACAGAGTCAGCCTCTGGCCCCCAACAATCTGGGTCCACATTTTATCCACCTCGGAAGCATGAAAGGCTGTAAACCTTGAGCCGGTCAGAATCGAACTTCTGGCTGTGGGCAGAGTTAGCTTACAATATTGCATTCTAACCACTGAGGGAGGAAGGGAGGGAAGGAAGGAAGGAAGGAAGGAAGGAAGGAAGGAAGGAAGGAAGGAAGGAAGGAAGGAAGGAAGGAAGGAAGGACTATCAATATCCCACCACAGTGCTTTTGCAGCCCTCTCTAAGCGGTTTACAGAGTCAGCCTCTTACTTGATGGGATGACTTCAGTCCAATCACCAGGAGACTGGGAGTTTTAGTCCAAAGCTGACTGGGTGACTTTGGTCCAATCACCAGGAGACGGGGAGTTCTAGTTCAACCTTCGGCATGAAATCCAGCTAAGTGACTTTAAGCTGGTCACACTCACACACCCCAAGCCACCTCACAGGATTGTGGGGGGAAAAGAAGAGGTATGTCTACCTCCTTAAGTTATTTACAAAAAATAATAAAGATGGGATCAAAAAAAATAACCTTTAAAAATCTAGTGAGTCAATCAGGAATAGAGTCTTGATGTTCTGGGAACCTGTATCTGTGAAAATGTCACTATTTGAAACAGTGCATTTCTTTATCCTACCTGCCAAGGGGCATTTTAAACTTGGAAAAGGATCTTGTCAAACAGCACCATCAGCCTTTGAGCTTGGAGCAAACGGGAGTAGAACGAAAGATCTAGAAAAGCTCTCTTAGAATGGAATACAAAAACAAAATGTTTTATTCTTCTCTTACAGTGCTACAGTGATTCCTCAAAAATAAGACCCTGTCTTATAATTTTTTTTGCCACCTAAAAGGCACCAGGTCTTATTTTCGGGGGAAGTCATCCACAGACTAACCTCACTTGTGCACGTTATCCATGGCCTCCTTTTTGCTGTCAGAGGCCTTCAGGAAGTCTTTCTGTGGCCGGCAAGGCTTTCCTGAAGGCCTCTGCAGCCAATAATAGTGTTCTATATCAATCCGGAGCTACAGAGGCCTTCAGGAAAATCTTGCCAGCCTTGCTGGCCTGCAGAAGAAATGGGCCGGCAAGGCAGTTGTCGGGGTGTGCAAGGCCTGGCTACAACTGTCCAAAGGTAAGTAGTAGGGCAGCTCCACCCCCCCATTCCCACCCTAGCTTAATTTTTACCCGTCTACTCTGGAGTGGACGGGATCTTAATAAGGGCTTATTTTGCGGGGGTAGGGCTTATATTGGGCGCACGTGTAAAAAAATCAGGCTAGGACTTACTTTCAAGGTAGGTCATATTTTGGGGGAAACAGGGTAGAACTAATTGCAGGAAAATCCACACTTGAGGTCGGGAAGCACATTCAATTTAAAAAAATAAATAAGAAAAAGGGCCTGTAGAAGGGAAGGCATCACTCATATGCAGGCTCCATTCAGGCAGAGATTTCTGCCAAGCTCTTGAACAGCCCGAATTTAGGTGATGCTGAAGTTTTCAAACCTGTTTTGTACGTTCTCTGCC